AGGAAACCCTTGTCCACATACATGTAACAGCAATTATATAGCCTACAACTGCCTTCTAAAGAAACCCTTGTCCACATACATGTAACAGCAATTATATAGCCTGCAACTGCCTTCTAAGGAAACCCTTGTCCACACACATGTAACAGCAATTATATAGCCTGCAACTGCCTTCTAAGGAAACCCTTGTCCACATACATGTAACAGCAATTATATAGCCTACAACTGCCTTCTAAAGAAACCCTTGTCCACATACATGTAACAGCAATTATATAGCCTGCAACTGCCTTCTAAGGAAACCCTTGTCCACATACATGTAACAGCAATTATATAGCCTACAACTGCCTTCTAAGGAAACCCTTGTCCACATACATGTAACAGCAATTATATAGCCTGCAACTGCTTTCTAAGGAAACCTTTGTCCACATACATGTGACAGCAATTATATAGCCTGCAACTGCCTTCTAAGGATACCCCTGTACATCATTTTGTATGTGGACAGTGGTTTTCTTAGAAGGCAGTTTCAAGCTATAAAAGTTACTTACTCATAATGATTGTGTAAACTGCCACCATTGGTGATTTATTTCTATCTTGTGTGATTATGTCACTATTTGAAATTGCTTAAACTGTAAGGAGTATTCCCTCAAATTAGATCACTTGGCTCTCATAATACATGTACACTGTAGCTATATTGTGCCATATTTCAAATTGTATGCTGGTTACTGTAAAATACTTTATTTTCGCTATTTTTTGCTGAAGGAATGATTCAGTGAAAATAAACTACAGCGAAATACAGTACAGTCCTCGCGGAAGGTTTGGCTTCACTTCAGCGTCAGCTTCGCTTCAGCATCGCATCATTATGGCATTGTTATGGCTTCAGCGTCGCTTCAATGTCGCGACATAAAAAGTTGAGGCGGTCATCGCTTCGCTTCATTGTTGCCTCATTATGGCGACAATGTGGCAGCAGCATCGCTTCATCAAACTAAGAAGTACAGAACTCATTTCGCCCAACCTCTCGGCTGCTTCCGCTTTTCAATCGCTCGCTTTTGCGACCGCTTGTTGAATTTCCGCTTTATTTTCGACTGTGCAAAAATTCGGACTACTAACAATTTTCTGGTTTTCATAGATGTTGAACAACCGTCAAAAGTTCAAATGCTTTTTGTTTAAACTATGTATAATTATATGCACGCAATCTGACCCTTTGACCTAGATTTGGCTGGGATTGACTATTTTATTTTAAACAACTTATTCTGACGTGACGCACTGCTACAAAATGTATTTCAACAGAAGTACGACATGGTTGTCTGGGTTTCCTTTCCTGACTGTGTTGAGTTTACGATTTGTATAATTATTGTTATTTCCCCCAAGGAGAAGACAAGCCGAAGGACCATGAAGCTAAATAGAAGTCCCACGCATGGACTGAGTGAAAGAAAATATTTCTAAGGCTAAAATAAAACCTAATATCTCTTTGTGTATTTGTCAATTTTGCATATATTTGGTATGACAGTATGTTCGTAAATATCTGGAAAAATCTCGTTTTTCGTTAATAATTTCATTTGTTTGAAATGTCTACCGACCGTGTCCCAATAATTTGTTTGGAATATCCCTGTTGGTTTCTGCAAACGGTCCCGACGTCCGTCATTCAACACAATCAGCATTTATTTGCCGTAATTCATGGGGATCATGTCCCGTAATTTGCGGGCTGTAAAACCAAATAATTAAACAAGTACTATTTATTATATTTTTGTTTTACCTCGCGAAACTACAACACGGCATAGAGTTGTCGTGGTGAAATCGATGGAACCTCAATTATCTATTTCTCACCTTGAAATAAAATTTTATATTTTAGTATCAGGGGAAATATTATTAACCAGTCTTACCAATCGCTAGCTATTTTTATTCAAATCCATAAAATTCATGAGTTTTTCGACATTTGTTGGCAACTTCCGAGCTAAAAATGGTTGAAAGTGTGGGTGTGGTTCTTTTGCAAGGTCTTGTTGATAATACAGACAAATATGGTTCTGTGACCCAGGTTATGTGCTCCGATCAGGTGACTCTCGGCCAATCAATGATGTTGTAACAATGCATATTTGACGCTAATTTAAGGGTCGTCGTACCATTTGTTTGTGCTGTGACAGGCTTCACAATTATTCACTAAAAAACATCGGTATATTTTGCCAAACGGCCGGGATTTGACCTCAGTTCAAAAAAAGAAAAAAAACTGGGCTGAGATACAAATCAGTTTTGGGGTCGATGATACATGTACATTTTGTATTCAGTATCGAATGACTTCCGTGTGTATCATGAGTTTCAAATTGTTCATCGACTGGGCACCACTGGACACGTTTTTTTTCTGAAGCCCAATAAATTAATTCTGCAAGTCAAGTGCTATTCAATTTTTTACAGGGCATGTGGCTCGTTTTTATTCGAAAATATTTTTTGTGAGAATACTTTTAAAGTACGTATAGGTCACTGATCATGACTTACATGTAATTTTGAAAATTGGATGTAAAATTTTACCAGACCGACTCCACCACAACCTTCCAATCATAGTTAGAAATGTACGCACTTGTTTTGGAACTTTGTATCAAGATGGCAGGCGACAACGCCGACGCACCAGGCGGTGTACGTGTGTTTTGCATGTATTAGTAGTCCGGGCATGGGATCGGACTCTGCTAAAACTAAACGAAACACAGAAAAATACCACCGAAATGAGGAATCTGAATCTGTTCTTTTACCAGCAAATAAAAAGAACGAAAATAAAGTAATTTTATAACAAGAACAGTTTCATTTCGTATAGCAAATTGCGTTGTATCCGAATGACGATTGCATCGTGTGATTTAAATTTATCACGATTTTCCTTGCAGTCAATATGACACTCGTCACCTTGCAGATTGCAATGTACTTCACAAAGTTGTTGGTACCCAATACTCGCAACATTAAATAATTAAACAAGATATCTTTTTAAAATGTCATTTTACTCTTGGTCATATTATTTTATTCCCCTTACCGCCTTGAATTTCAAATCTTCTGTACATGTGTTTTTCTCTACTGCCTTTCCGTGTGAAAATAATGAGGTCATACTCATGTCACAATACTTTGAAGCTGATGCTATGTTGATGCCATGAGACTGCGAAGCTGAGGCCACGATGATGCCACAGAATAAGCGAGGCGAACACAGCTTCAATTGTCAACGACGCGAAGCTGATGCCACAATGATGCGATGCTGAGGCGACAATGAAGCCATGCTTAGGCGACAATGATCCCACAAAAGCCAAAGCTTTCGCGAGAACTGTACTGTACCTGTACCTGTAACTCATCAAACATCAGTGAAAATAAATCCCATACAAAACACCCAAAAATTCTTTTAAGCTAAAATAAACTCTAGCTAAAATAAAGTATTTTACAGTATTCTGAAATTATTTCAAAAATCTGACTTTCAAAAGTGACAAAAAAAAATGCTATTTTTCTATAACGATGTGTCCTGTTGGATTATACGTACAAATTTTTGATTAATATTTGGCAAGTTTTATGTTTGTGTCGTACATGTACATAAATTTGCTTTAAGAATGTACATAATAAAATAATGAACATGCAAATCATGATCAATTTTATCACAAATTGTAAGTAGGTTTCTACCTTTATGTCATACATTCAGTTCATTGATATTTGTATCATATTTTGATTTATTTATAGTTTTGTATGTTGTGTTCCACCGGATACCATATATTCTGCTGTCACTCTGAGAATGTTGCTAAATGGTGGTTATCCATGGATTTAGTCGGTATATCTATGGGTTTACTGGGATGCTATGTCCCAGCTATTTACTATGCATTCTTTTGCAATGAGGTGAGTACTAAAAACTTTTTCTCCTCAATAATAAATACTTATGGTACAAATAAATCAAGAGCTCACAGACTACTGAATTGTGGGACTTGTGATTTTAAGAGCTGCATTCATCCAAATTGGTGAAATAGAATGTGCTGGTAATTAAATTCACATATTTTTTCTCTTTTTTTTTCAAAAAATACAGATCATGACATTATTTTTATTTTAATGACATATTAAATAAAACATATAGTTACCTCAGTGTCAGTCAATATTCAGTTTTTATGAAAAATTATGTGTTAGTTTACCGCGGGTAAACCCTTTTTTTTTGGTCTCTTATTTTTTAATTCTTCATGAAGGGAATGTACATCCACTTTATTTTCAGTTTTGGAGATGTATATATCTAGTGATTGTGAGTTGTTTAATGGTAGTTACGCTAGCTGTTCAGTTACATCCCCGGTACTTATCGTCAAACTGGTCAATACGAAGACTTATCTTATTGTGTGGTGTTGTGGGATTTGGTGTTTTACCGGTGATTCACTGGATTCATTTACAAGGTGGATATAGAACTCCTATAGTAATGGTAAGGCTTTTATTTATTTATTAGTCGCTGTATAGACTACTTTTGGTTTGATCTCTGTTTGTCTGTTTGTCTGATTGTGCACATCTTGAACCTTCCTAGATTGATCACATTCAGATTTTACACTTACATGTGCATCTTGGGATACATACCGTATTTATCCGGGTAAGAGCCCAGGGTCCTGAACATGGAAAATCGCCAAAAAGAAGGGGTGGGCGTTTATCCGGATATCCCCAGCAAAAAAATCGAAAATCGCGAAAATTGGCAACACGCAAATTGAACTGCGACAGGGAGTAAAACGGCAAAAAATAACATGCAACAAAAATAAATGCAAACAATATGCAGCATTAGAAGTGTAACAAGAAATAATTTATTTCTTAGAATGTGACAAATAAACCAGAAATAATAAAAATCGACAGTGAAGATTCATTTGAATTAGAATATCCCCGTCGACAAATATATACGCGTGAATTATTTCCGGTTTTGACAAATACCGGATCAACAGTCATACAAGATCAATAATAATTTACACAGTAAAATTACGAAAGTTCATAGTTGTTAAAAAAACTAACATCTAAAATCTCTTTGTACGTTCATTGTTATCTTCGTAAAAGTCAAAACCCTGAAATTCCAAGTCAGCGTCACTGTCGCGATCGAACAAAATTCCAACAACTTATTCCTGAAGTTCGTTGATATCGTTCCACACAATTTGGACTTAGCACTTTTAATCCACGGATTTCGCAGTCTGTCAGCTTGGCACTTTTCATTCATGTCTAATCACAATAAAGACAAGACAAGAAAAATGGGATCGCTCTGCTGCGATGACACACATTGCTTTTGTTTACCGTCTGGCAATCCTTTTTGACCTTTAAGCATCCGCTTTACCGATTGGCTAAGAATGACATCACTACTATTGTACCATCATAGAGGTCAAGTCAACAATGCTTTCTTATCAGACTCGACGCTCATCAATCATGGTGAAAGTTATCATTCAGCAAGTTCCGATGGTTGGAATGTCTCACTATGGATATCGCGGTGGGCTTGAAATAGGAAAAATATTTTTTCTTCAACGACAGAAGAATAATTCCCATGACAGAAATGCAATAGCTGTGGTGAAAGATGGTAAAAATGTTGGCAGTCTTCGGCGTGACATTGCAAAATTGCTGGCCCCAGTTATGGATTCGCAAATATTTTTATAAGCCAAAACAACATGCTTTAAACCACTCTCCCAGGTAATGGTTGCTACAATATTGCAACATTGTTTTATTATCGGCGACGCTAAAGCTGAACGAGTGTGGCACTTGCTTCGTAGCTCTCGATATACTGTAAGATTTGCTTGAATCGTTTCTATAAGGAAACACAAACCTAACGGCCCTTTTCAGGGCCAAGACATATTTCAAAAAGAGAACTACCGTTTCTTCTTTAATATACATTTTTTTGACTCGCTGGCTGTTATGTTTCTGATAAAAAATCTTGAAAAAATAAATGTAAACTATGTAAACAGTGGTGAACGCGCTGCTCTATTTATGTCACAGCTATTTCGCGTTCACTCCTTGTTTTACACAATTGACATTTATTTTTCAATTTTTTTTATCAGAATCACAACAGACTCCAAGGAAGTCAACTGTTAATACAACAAACAAAAAAAGGTTTTTGTTTTTTTATTTTATTACAGGTGTAGAAAAAATGCCCCTGGCGTTTGCTACGATATGACCTCAACTTCTTTATTTAACCAAAAGTCGGGGGTGGGCGTTTGTCCGGGCATGGGCTCTTAGTCGGATAAATACGGTATATATCAATTTGATTCAACATGGTCTAATCAAATCTTGGTTCAAAAGTGGATTTTATTCAAACTTGGTACATACATTGGACATCATAGGACCTTGATGTATGTTCGTTTTTCAGATCAGATTCAAAATGACCGACTGGTGGTTACTTTGTTTTAATGAATGCTGTTTCAGATTTGCATCTCTGACTTACCAAACCAATCAGATTCAAACACATGTTCATGCATTCAGATGACGATCCAGTTCATACTCTGCTGTACATAATTGAAATTTGACTCAAACTCCCTATGTTTTGCAATAACACAATATTTCATCTAATTACTTGATTTCACTTATTCTTTACTTTACAGGAGTTTCTTCCAAAAGTCACAGTTATGTATATACTAGGAATTTTAGCTCTTCTTTTTTATGCAACAAAATTTCCTGAGAGATGCTGCCCAGGTTTGTATAAATGAAATTTATGTTATTGTCCAACAAAGTTCCATTTTTTTTAATTACCCTCAAAAATTGTTCTATCATTTACAATAGAAGAAAATAAAATGTTGTTTCTTCTAACAATAATGCTTGTCATATTATAGAACTTCTATGTATTGTAACTATTTGATTTCATCATATCTAAGAACCTCTTAGGAAACAGTGGTGAAAAGATCAATAATCACTGTTTTCATGGATTTCTGACCTGTCTTTTGTGCAAAAATACTTCAATGACCTGTGAATAAATGCATGAAATAACACAATATTTTAAATGTCTGAAGGAAATTTTTTTTAATGGAGGAGTAACTTAACATTATTTTTTAATTTCATTACAGGCAAAGTTGATTACATCGGATCGAGTCATCAGTGGTGGCATATTACAATTATAATAGCTTTCTTCTGGTGGCACCAGTGTGGACTACTGCTAATGCAATTCAGATATGACAATCCATGCTCTGAAACCTTGTCTGTGATATAGTTATTTCAGTCCGATCCAGAGAAAACTGGTTCAAACCAGTTTTCACCAGTGAGATTCAGCTCAAACAGGTTCTGACAAAATAGTCTTTTCTGACAGTGTCTGGTTCAAACCAGTTTTCACCAGTGAGATTTAGCTCAAACAGGTTCTGACAAAATAGTCTTTTCTGACAGTGTCTGGTTCAAACCAGTCTTCAAACAGGTCCTGCATAATTTTTTCTGATGTAAAACTTAAAATTTATATTATTAGAATGAACACAAAGAATGTTTTATTTATTTTGCTTATATTTTTTTTTTTTTTTTTTACTATTTAATGATACACATGTTTTAAATTCAGTTTTCACTGTGCTTAGTCTCTACAATTCCATCATGTTTCTTTCAACTAGAATGTAGTGCACTGAATTGTCTACTTGCAATGTCTACTGTTGTATTGAAGTTGCTATCAGTATGTCTTGTATCTAACGAAATGCTTATGGTATTTCACTACAGTTTAGTACACAGGTTATTTGAGGTGACTCATTATTTTTGTCACATTTTAATTAGCCAATTTTCATTGTTGAATCACACAAACTGTCTGCCATTTCTTATTGTGGTATATTTCTGCCAACTTAGTACCGAAGAAATCTTCAAGTTATGAAACTGAAATATTAAAATGTATTATTTACATTGAAACCCATAAATATAGAGTCTACGACATTACTGTATTCAACATTCTCAATCACAATTCAGTGTGAATCATTTCTCATAGAATTGGATTGTGAATACCTGTCTGTTTTTCTGTACATGTGCCCGAGGCACCTTTCCCCTAAATTGATATGGCAACTCTTAAAGGGCGGTGGTCGCCGTGCACTGCGAGTTTGAATTTTCGAATTTCATCTAAATAAACAATGTATTTTATATGCATTGTATACACCGCTATGAGTCCCATGCCGAAGAGGACGTGACACGATGACTGTTAACACGAAACTTGGGCAAAGTTGATTTGCAATGCATGCCTGCCTTTTGTGTTTTTCTGTATGTTTGACTTTTGAAATTCACAGGCGTTTTAAAATTCACAGGTATTGATAATTCTATAATATGCAATTTTCCTATTCAAATGTACTTTGCATATTTATGTACTGTAATATTAATGATATTTGTTATTAATTTTATCAAAGCATTATTTTTTAAAATCTTATTTCTAATTTTTTAAATATGCTGTAACAAATTGTGTTTTTTTTAAGATTGTCAAAAATATTTTTATTATTTATGTGATCGTAATAATTGTATAAAAATATTATTAAATATCAGTAATTATGCAACAATTGTCTTGATATTTACTTTTCTAAAATATTCCTGAAGCTTATCAACCATTGTAGGGCTTTCTGTTTTTAGTTCTGCTGTCGTCGTTTTTGAGTGGAGCTTATCATATACGTGATTGTTCACCGGCGTCTGTGTCAACTTTTTAGCTCCGCTCTGATTGCTTTGATAATATACATATAGGTACTACAGGTAGACCTCTCTCAGATTTGTTCAATATTTGTTGAATATTTTTGGTAAGAAGTGATGTTTTCGACTTCTTGTTTGATTGAAGTCTGATTGCTTTGATATTATACATACACATGTAGGTACTACATAGGAACTTTCTCAGATTTGTTCATTTCGTGATGATATCTTCAATTCTCCAATTTTGATGAATATTTTTGGTTTTGGTAAGAAGTTTTGATATTATACATATAGGTATTACAGGTAGACCTCTCTCAGATTTCTGATGATATCTTCAATTCTTTAGTTTTGATGAATATTTTTGGTAGAAAGTGATATTTTTGACTTTTTGTCAAAAACGTCAAGTCCAATTGCTTTGATACTACAACTGTATACATATACCTCAGATATGTGCATTGCTAACAGCGAAACTATCTCAGCTGAGAGGCTGCTTGTTTCAGTTCATAACTGGGATTTTTATATACAGATTATGTGATCAGTTTTGACTTTGAGGAAATACCCTGAATAGTCAATTAGATAAGCACAAAAACTTACATAAACTACAAATATGGCAGCTGATAGTGTAATCATGAATCAGAGCCCTCTGTTCACAGATGGCCCCATTATTTTATCGATATTAATGAGTATGAGTGTTTATTATGGTAGGACCTTAATCTTGTAGTGGTCACGGAAACCCCATCTATCATTGACAGTGGTGTCATTGTCTGTATTTTTGTCATGCAGGTATCAGAACCTTACACAATCTGAATGCCAATAATTCATTGTTGAAAGATATGGCCACCAAACTCCACAAATATGTTCTCAGTCAAATTTTCTAGTATACTGACGATGTTATTATTATGCACGAATTTCAACGGGATGGGAGGATTATACCAGACCACTTATGTACCAAGTTTCCTTGTACAATCTATTGATGTTGTTTTTTAAATTTATTGAGTGGTTCTTGCGAAAGGTTACAGTTGACTAATTACTAAGCAAATTAAAACTTTAATATGTACAAATTTCAACCAAGAATCTGTCAGGTGCATGGATTATTTATGTACCAGGTTTCATTGAAATTTGTTGAGTATTTCTTGGAATGTCTGAGAAACAGTTAAGAAGGGTTCTGAAATTGAAGCGGGAATTGAGTTCCAAGCGACGATAACAACACACGCTAAAAACGCAAAGGCTCATTGGTACTAGACGCATGTTTATAAACAATGACACGCTATGGCCATCTGACGCATGGTCTGTGGAGTATCTCTTGAGATATAACGGAAACGTATACAATTAGCTAAATCATTATGTAAATTAAACATATAATCTATTGATCAATTCAGTGAAAAATATAAAAAAATTGACAAAAAAAACCAGCTCATGGATGCCGTCTCAATTTCTTGTAAAATCGTCGCTATCATGATTGAACTGTCTCGCTTATTTACTGCGAACATATCTGTAAATCATATGTCTCCATTTTTTTTATGAAAGCTCGAACAAAGAAACGTTATTTCACGAGTACCAGTAATTTGAAAAACTGCCGTCGCCGTCACGTACACCACCGGATCTGCCGAAAGTGACATTATTTTATTCTTCGCCTTACAAGTCGCGAATAAGATTAAAGGGTGGTAGTCGTCGCGCCACGCATGCGCGAGATATACGAGTCTCATATAAACAAAGATGGCGGCTTTGTCTGTTGTGGAGATCAACGAGTACAAACTAGACGTTACCAAGCTCTAATCGTATATTTTGAGGTGATTGAAATGTATCGAAGGAGTCACCCGCGGTAGTTAGTGCAAGTCGCGCCCAGGTAAATCCTCATACTTGTGATTTCCATTAGAAGAGCGCACTGTGGGAGGATCAATGTTTATCAACACAAATGTCGCACATGCGCAGCGCGAGGACCACCGCCCTTTAATAGGTGAATGTAGATCAAACAAATACTAACGCATACTGATCCGTAAAAGACCAAACAGGTCCATATTTTGTCATCACTCAACCAAAGTTCATAAACAATGTAAACACGATATGCGTTATGATGATCTTCGGTATTTGTTTGTTTTAGAGGGCGTATCGTACTGATAGAGTCACAACTAACAGTTACACACTTATGACACGTTTATGCAACAGTCATTTCTAACTACAAAATGCTGATTAACAGAAGTTTTCTTTTTCTCTGTCTTCTTATGCCGGGTAAGTTACTATTTCTAAAATAGATAGTTTAAATATATTCTATAAGTGTTACAGAAAAGTAATATTGTCCAATATTATGTATTACGATGAATATAGTGGTCGCGCGTCGCCGATACCTATATTTCATTTATTTGTATATTTACTTTGTTCTTTACAAAACGACAGAATTCATTTCAATTTGATGACACACCGCATTTTATGTGATTGACCAAAAAGAAGGTAACACGTATATAACACTGTATTTCATTCCTATTGTTTTTCCATGGAAATGTGTGTTTCATTTGGTAACCTCAATAATCAATTTCATAAATGCGCATTATCCCAAAACTTTTATTTTTCGCGTAAACTTCAAGTTCTGTCGTAAGATTTGAACTGAATTGTTCATTACATTGTGTCATTATAATAAGATAGTTTATTGGAAAGCAAAAGTTCGCAATATTACGGAAAATTTGCAACGGTCATCATGTATTATATGCGGATTTAAATTCTAATAGCGTTCAAAGTTTTTAATTGGGTTGATTTTCGTCTGTCATGGTGTTGTTCCATTATATGATAATACATTGCATACATATATGCCCAATAATATGCTCGACTCGAATTTCGCAACTTCACTCGTATAAACGAAAGTTATTAATTATATACGTTCGTTGTATTCCGCGTGGTTTATCTGGAGAAGTAAATCCCGAAATATGGGTTATATTTTACATTTGAAATTTTTTTTTTTTTTTTTAAATGCTCTTCATGGTACAAAATGACAACAAACTTTGAATACTAGATTGGGTGAACACAAATCGCGTAAATAACTGAAAATGTTTTGTTCAAAGAAAAATTAACTTCTAGCTATTTGTCGGCATACACTCAAAGGGCAGCCATACTGCAACGATAATTTAGACCCAACACTAATATATCGAACACAAGATATTTATATTTTTACTCACTGTAAAATTACAAATGCGCTAGACATAGTATCAAAAACGAATAACTACAATGGTGTGAACTCATGCGTACAAATGAAGCATTAAACAAATAGGTCGCTGATATCGAGAGCCGACTTTCTTATTTCGCATAGTCATGCGATCGCAAGACGAGGTTAAAACCTTGGCACCCATTCCGATGTCATGTAAAGTGATATCAATCTTGATACATAGATTGTATGTACATCTTCATGACATCAAACGTCTAGACGAATCGATAGCCACGGCTGCAAAGTTCTGTAACGGCGATAGTTCAAAAATTAATAGTTTGGCAACGAAACCCTCCCCTAAAATTCTTTTGTTTAAATTATCGGTTAAGGATTTCCCAAACTCCCAAACTGAATGATGGGATATAATTTTAACATACATGCACGCGGTATTAATTTACGTAACGTGTTTAGTGGCGCGGGCTGATAAAATGGAAGAAAACCAACTAATGATAATAAGTTGATCGATACGGCAAAATTAGTAGAACGTAATCTCGCCGCTATGAAATAATTCTAATTTATGTGCGAAGAAGTCAACAACATATCAACTTAAGGAGGGGGAATGTCAGGGGTGGGAACTATGTTTAGTTTTTAATGACGTTTGTTATCCCCACCGTATGCCATGAGAATATGACGTCGTACTTTTTTCCTAAAAAAAAAACAAAACAATAGTTGGGATAGTATTGTTGTGGTAATAAAAAAACATGCCGCATTTCATGTTTTATGAACATCCCTGGAGAAGGAATGACGTTCCCGAAAGATGAACTAAATTGTTCATCTACAGTTGACCGCTGGTGGCGTTTTCTTATTTTTTTACTCCAGTTGCAAGCTCTCTTGTCCTCAGTTCACCGATTACGATTTAGGCTAACATCCATGCTGTGAATTTGACACTAGGTTTGACCATATACACTTTGACAAAACTCTGGAAACTCACAATCCTCCCAATAACGATTAAAGCGCGGAATAATGCGTCGTACTACAATTACTTTACTCAATGTAGCCATAGTATTGTTTAACGCCAGCCTAACTGTTCTGTTTATGTCTTTACAGCTTTTTGTAAATATAGATGCCCGGCGGGATGGTCAGTTTATCTGAATCGTTGTTATTACATGAATGATAAAGATGGATCTATCACGTGGTCTGATGCGAAGACGGCATGTGAAGACAAAGGGGGGATGTTGGTCGTCATTGATTCTAGTGGAGTAAATGTAAGTGTAGTTTTGTAAAATGATTCATCGCTGAAAATTCAAATAAATCGATCAGTACCATTTTTTATTATTTTCCCCCTAATTATATTATAATCGGAAACAAATAATAGAATAATAATATAATAATGGAGGCGAACCATTTGTAATTTAGATGGAGCTTTAATGGTATACCCTATGAAAACTCAACAAATCAACAAATATCCTTTTTTGTTGATCATTTCCCACAATGCAATACTTAAAGCGGGAAGTTCGTCACCTGCGCATGCGCGGAAATTGAGTCCCAAGCGACGATAACAACACATGCTAAGAACACATGGTTCATGGTAGACTGGCAAAGTCGGGACTTCTTTTTTGTGTTACAAAAAAAAATACAAATAATTGTCAATTTAGCTTTTTTAACATGATCGCGAAAACTAGCGTGACTGCAAAAGAAATCCCGACTGAACGCATCTGCAGGCGACCCCCTGCGTTGGAGTGAAAACCGGAGCAGAATCACTCCAGTGATTATGCTAATTAAAAGATGTTGACTAGCATTGACAACGAATCAGAGTGCAGCTGTATACGTCATCTCTTATCTGTGTTGATGTTCACTTCTGAGGTCTCGACGATTTTGAAAGACTACTTATATACATTGGACATTTAAATTGACTTGTTTTCAGTAAACATGGATGAAAGTATCGCCGTTGAACTTAAAAAAGTTAAAGTATCCATCTCTGCAATCGAATCGAATCAACCTTTAAAAAGTCACGTTTACTTTCACACACCCACTCATGAATAATCATAAATCAATGACATCATGAATAATTAGTAGCAGTCAAATGCCAGCAGATGCGTCCAGTCGGGATTTCTTTAGCGGTCAGGTTAATTTTCGCGATCACGTTAAAAGGAATAGAAGAACAATTAATTATTTCTTTTTGTAAAACAAAAAAGAAGTCATGACTTTGCCAGTCTAGGTTAATGAGTAGATGCTTGTTTGTAAACAATGACACGCTATGGCCATCAGACGCATGCGCATTTGACGACTCCCCTTCAAACAGGACAAACAAATGTCATAACATCGTAGTGGCGACAAACATCACAATGGGATTGACAAACGCAAAAGTATTTTGGGGGATATTTCCATGGTTAACAATGTGCTGTTCACATTTGATGATAGGCAATTTCGATGAAGTAAGGAGCTTTCGATGTGAGCTATGAAATAAAGAAATGCAAGATCTCGCAGTTGAACAGAAAATCACCTACTTTAGTATTGGCTTCAGAGCTCATATATATCTGAATGTTACTTATTGTTTGCAGTTTCACTCATTCAGTAAAAGTTTTGCAAATTCAGGATTTGATGGCTATCTTGAAAGAAAATTTTGCTAAAGTAATTTTCACTGATGACAATTTATATTGTGAAATTCAAGCAGTTACAGTATTCAAATTAATCCAATTGCTAATTGGATGAAACTCAATTAACTAATTGTTTACTTCCTTGTGCAAAGAACAGTGCACAGTCTTCCTCAGTTTTGGGTTAATATCAGATCATATTAATTATCTAATTTGCATAATAATTCATAATTTTTTGGTTCTAATCACATTTCAATGAAACTTCATACATAAATGGTCTGTGACAGTACTGATCTTAATTTAATGAATTACATATATACTCTAACACAATGTGATGATCTATTTAGTTTTGGGTTTATATACGTTCACAATAATTACCTAATTTCTGTAATTTAATAATTTATTTTTCAGTTTTCCACTAACCCGTAGTTAGGATTAATCATCACATTCTAATGAATATTGTACATGTGTGCCCTGAAATAATATAAAGATCTAAATCTATGCATAATAATTGCTTATTTTGTATTCATTACGTTCATCCATGGGGTAATCCATAGACATGATGTTTAAAAGTTTAATGTTTAAAAACATGCATATTGAAATTATTAGCCCATTTCTGGTATCTAAAAAACGCAGATTTAAATTGAATTCATCACAGAGGTGCTCTGGAACTAAAAACCATGGATGAAAAATCAAATGTATTTTCTGTATGTATTATAAATTTTGATAATGTGAATCACCATGTTTTCATGTTGTGCATCTCAAATAGCAGACAAATATTAGTTCCCAAGCTTCTCATTTGAAAAGCAAATCTTAAATTTAAAGTAATTTTAATGCGTCTCTAACACTCATATGGATTTATACAAATTATAAAATATTTTTATAAACAGAATATTGAATAGAATTGGTAATTTGAATGTTACTTTTGTGTTTTATAGGACTATGTGACTTCACTGACAGATTCCTCAACACAACAGTTGTTTTGGATTGGTCTCCATGATGTAGTCAACGAAGATGCCTTTATTTGGGTAGATGGAGTTTTTCTGGATGATTATGGATATGTGTGAGTGTTTAGTTTCTAAGACGAGACTAGATAAAGTTGTTATAGACATGTATCTAATTTGTCAGTTGAAAACGACTATTTAAAGTCTGACTATGGGAGTATGTGATTTTCAAAATGTCATCATGATTCTGTGGATATGTTACTTTGGGAAAATGAATCAACGTCAGAAAATTCAAATTAGTAATATGTAGCAGGCAATGCCTGGCAAGCGAGTACAGCCAAGTTTATTGAATTACTAAAAATAGAATCAAAATTGAATGTTAAATGGATGTCTAGTAGCAATATGATGCCACACACGATATGTGTGTTGCCACCGATCAAAATGACTCAAAAAACTATTTTCAGTCTGGTGCCATATCATGATTTAATTTCATATTTCTTTTCTGTAGCAATTGGGGAACTGACCAGCCTGATAATTATAATGATGATGAAGACTGTGTTGATATTCAAAATGGAAAATGGAATGATCTACCATGTAGCAGTACACAACCCACAGGTTACATATGTCAGACAGAAAAAGGTACCATAGTAGCCTAGAATTGTTGTGTGTTCCAAGGTCTGAAACCTCTACAGTAGCCTAGAATCCATGTGTCCCAAAGTCTGAAAGCTCCACAGTAGCCTAGAATCCATGTGTGTTCCAAGGTCTGAAACCTCTACAGTAGCCTAGAATCCATATATGTATTACAAGGTCTGTTACCCCCACAGTAGCCGAGAATCCATGTGTTCCAAGGTCTGAAACCTCCACAGTAGCCTAGAATCCATATATGTATTACAAGGTCTGTTACCTCCACAGTAGCCTAGAATCCATGTGTGTTCCAAGGTCTGAAACCTCTACAGTAGCCTAGAATCCATATATGTATTACAAGGTCTCTTACCTCCACAGTAGCCTAGAATCCATGTGTTCCAAGGTCTGAAACCTCCACAGTAGCCTAGAATCCATGTGTTCCAAGGTCTGTTACCTCTACAGTAGCCTAGAATCCATGTGTTCCAAGGTCTGAAACCTCCACAGTAGCCTAGAATCCATATATGTATATAAGATCTGTTACCTCCACAGTAGCCTAGACTCCATGTGTTCTAAGGTTTGAAACCTCTACAGTAGCCTAGAATCCATATATGTATTACAAGGTCTGTT